GTGCATATAAGAACATAGAATTTGAATCACGATAATCAATCGATGTTGCTCTAGACTTCTGCCTCAGTAACCTTTCCTCTATAGAACTCCGTTTTTCCAATTCATTCATAGTGTGTTTCTCCTGTTCTATCAACATCTGATTAAAAGGATCAAGGGTCAAATTAGATTGAGTGCATTCCAATCTCTGCCTTATTTGAGTCAATCTTTGCTCATAACTTGCCATCTCCTTATTCAGTCCTTTTGCCTTATCTTTTAGTTTGTGTAGCTTTCGCCATATAGTAGTCATAGGGTCTTGCTCATCTTGCTATTGCCATACTCTATCCACCATAGGCCTAAAGTCCTTATGCTCCATTGTTACCAAGTATAACTTGAATGGCTTGGGATGATTAGTTCTTCTTTTCAAAATTTAAACAATGATTGGAGATTGTTAGAAACTCCAGGTTCTAGAAAGTCAGCTTCCAAATGCCCATAATTATTAATCCAGTTGAAATTGCCAAAAGCCCAATCAATCTTACTGTATACTCTATCATTTTCATTCTGCTTGTTGTACCATGTATAAAAACATCCCTTTGTTCTTAATGGGGTTAGTTGCATATTGTCAATACATTGCTTGAAATCCCGCACCTCACTTGTTGACACTGGTTGTCCTAACCTATCATCTGTGGTTAAGACATTATTGAAATCTCCACTTATGAGCAAAGGTACTTGGATTTGCCCCCCAACCAGATGCAAATCATGCCATAGAATTGCCCTTTCTTGCACCTTGTTCCTACCATAGACAACTGTCAACATGATCTTGGAACTGGTTACTAGATCTTCCACTAAGCAGTGAATTAATTGCTCATGAATATGGACTATCTTTACTATCAAGTTTGTCTTCCATAACAACCAAATTCTTCCATTTATAGCTTTTGTATAATTATAGCAATATCCCCAAGCTTTGGCTACCTTATTCACTAAATTTTTGGCCTTCTTTTCCTTTACTCTAGTTTCTAGATATCCAAGAATGCCTACTTTATTCTTTTGCAGAAAGAGTCTTAACTTATTCTGTTTATAGGGCTTATTCAGCCCCCTTATATTCCAGGTGGTTATGATCATGGTGGTTGTTTGATAGGCTCAGTAGCAATCCCATCTCCTTGTGCAGAAATCTGCCCACACTTTCCCAGTATTGTGAACCTGTTAGTAGTGCTAGCTTCTACAGTATGAGTCTGCTGCATTGCAACTGGACTATGCTGCACCCTACTTTCTTCATTCTTGCTTATCACCTGCATCCTTTGAGTAGAGCCATTCACAGATACTGTCTTCTGATTACCCTTTGGTTTCCATTCCTGTACTACTTTCTTCCTTCTGCCCCTATTTCTTCTTTAAGGAGCCTTAAACTCAGCCTCTTCATGATTCTGGTGGTTTGTCCTCCAACATTCAAAGTTGTCATGGCCAAAGTCTACACATTCTCTACAAAATTTTGGCCTCCACTGGTAGAGTATTTCCTGTTGCCTAGTCCCAGAAGGAGTAACAATCACTATACTTTCCTTAAAGGCTTAGTGATATCAACCTTCACCAGAACTCTTGCATAAGAGATTTTATTCAAATCTGCTATGAATCTGTCAGTGTACATGGGTAGTCCTATAGCACTAGCCATCTTGCTCAATGCATCAGCAGTCCAGTATCCAACAGGTAAGACAGGGAAGTGAATCCATAAACGGATTTTTGTTATACATTTAGGGTCAAAATGAAAATCCATTTCCCAATTCTGCAAAATGAATGGTTTGTTGTGATACGAGTATAGACCTGCTTGCATAACTAAGTCCCTTTCCTCAATTGTTGAAAATCAAAACACATAACACCCATCATTGTGATATAGAATTTGAGGTTTAGAAACAAAATCCCATACAGATTCTATATAATTCTCCATAGATTTCTCATACAAAGCATCACCAAGGACATATCCAATTAAGGCAGTCGCCCAGTGGTCGTTCAACCCACTTACATCTTCCTCAGCAATTTGAATAACTATCTTACAATCTCGATGACTTGGTGGAACATATTCCAGTCGCATTCCCATCTAAGAATTACGATTCTGCTGCTTGAGCTCCTTTGAATGATGTTCCTGCTCCTTCCCAGTCCCTGTTGTTGCTGCATGTTGTTCTATATCTGGAGATGATTGTGCGGAAGATCCATCTTCAGAGAATTGTAATCTTCTCGGAATTGTTGGCAATTGGTCCTTGCACTTTTGAATTTCCTTCTCCTTTACTACTTCAGTACTATTCCATTGCTTACTATTGCATTCATCTTCATCAATTAGCTCATTTTCCTCTCGAATTGGCTAGAATCAAGTGGGGAGAAAGCTACAAAACGTTAATGGAGTATATTTTTGCATCCCTGAAGTCACTGGAGTTACAGTAGCGGTCGTCGTTACTTGTTATTTGCGTCTTCTAGCCATCGACGGTGCATGTTAGCCTACCATGGCTTATCATGCGCCAGTCAAATAATTTTCATCATTGTTGAATTATAATGCTCCATTTAAACTTTATTGTTATTGAAACTTAAATGTTAACAATAAAAGTAAAAAACTTATAATAATATACTAAAGAGAGAGCTCTAACCAATTCTAGAGAGAGGGAGAGAATTCTTTCTCAAATGGTAGTGTAGGGTGTGTGTTTTACAAGTGATAGGGGGTTGTTTATAGCCAAAAACTAAAAATTACATAGTGTTTTCTAATGTCATTCATGATATCATTAGGAGTAAGTGTTAGCTAATGTCATGGATAGTGTCAACTGTGATGTAATTGTGTTGTCATGCTGATGTAATTTCTGATTAATTTCATAAAATATTAAATCATGGTCTTCTTCTTCTTCTTCTTCTTTTGATGATGATGATGATGACGTTGATGATGATTTTTCAGACAAGGATGCTTGATTTGGTCGACCTGGAATTTGTGTCTTGAGGGAATCAAGAATTTTCTCCATTTGCTGAATAAAATCAAGCATGCTGCTGGAACCTGCTAGTTGTGCATTTACAATAGACTTTTGCTGTAAAAATAAAATTTTGGCAGTATTTATTATAGGTAGATACTGCAGATGAGATAGAAACCACTTGTCTACTGCTGGCACATAGGCTTTGGATGAATCCCACATTTTATATCATTTGTAGTGGCCTTGGAGGGCTAAACATGATAGTCCATTATGTCCTTCTGGCTTGTGGAAGGAAAACTTTTGGGAGTATGTCCATGGGATATGAAATATGTGTGAAAATTGGAGGAGTATGGATATTTGTTGCTCACTTGATAACCTATGACAAAAATATTCATATCCTTCTTTTACCGGCGATGGGATGATTTCTGCTCTATGACCATAAACAGGCCACCACTAATGTATAAATGTCACGCCCCGAGCCACGCATCTTCTTCTAACCCAACGGCGGCCCAAAGTCACACGGCCTCTTCACTTCCTATGCTTGCAAGAAGCACCACACAAAAAATATTTGAGGCTAAAAGACCAATTGCAGGTACTGGATGTCTATCCTACATCCCACAAACCACAACCAATCAGGCTATTTCTTCACCAGTGCCACAAGATATTTCTTCAAGCAAAGGCTCCTCCTCCAACGAATCAACTAATATTAAGAATGTTGTCTACCCGCTCATTCAAATTCAACCAGAATTCTGGCATTCCAACCCCCAAGAGGTAGCTAAGAAAATACTTAGACCTTCAGCCAATTTAATCCAAAACACTCACAAAAATACCCAAAAATACTATGAGTTCATTCTCGCATATACCGGATCCTGTTTGTTTAAACACCACAAAGAAAAGTAGACCCAATCATATGTCACATATACTACGGTGTGAGTTAAAAAAATAATCTCACCAAAAGAATGAGGAACCTATCCAGCCAAATACAAAAAACTTTTCTCAGCATTTTGATCGACAATTTTACAATTGTTATGACAACTAGGCATCGTGGATGAATGCTTTCAGCTTCAGAAACCAACTTGGAAAATATTCATGGTTTATCCTCTGGAGTAAGCAATTAATCTCAGAATTTCCTCAGCGGTTTATTGTCACGCTCCGAGCCTGGGGGCGAGACCGGCACCTGGTGCCTTACCTATCCTTGCATACCACTTGCGACTAAGGGACTCTGAACATGTAATGTCATACTCTGGCCATGGGCCACATTACAAGCTAATGTGCAAAGCAAAATAGAAAACTGAATGAAGGTTAACGCTGACTAAATGTCAACATAAAGCTGGGCCGGCAAAACCGTCATAAATACTATAACTAACAAGCCAACAAAATATACGTACAGGGCCTACAAGCCCAACATACTGCACTAACTAACATGATATGTCAACGAGCCTCTACTGATAGATGTACTGTGATCGGAACAGGGCCCCGACCTACCCATAACCTATCTAGATATATACACAAGATGTACACAAAACTTCTAGACCCGGCAACTCCGAAGGACGGGGAGCTTACCGATAAAGCTGAACTGGGGCAAATGTTACATATTGCGTTTCTCGTACGTTAAAGTTTCGTCTTCAGTTAATTGACATAGACTCGGGGATGAGATTATCTTGAGGTTAGCATATTTATGTTATTTATTGCAAGCGATAAGTAAGTGCCATGAAGGATAAAGGGTACACGAATTAAAGAAAATGAGTTTCGTTGAAGATTGTCAATTTGGGATAAAATACGGGGCGAGCGATAATAACCGATATTTATGGACTAGTACCATACAAGGTGTCATATGACCATGATTGTATGATGTATAAAGTGTATTAAAAAAATAATTAAAATTTTAGGTAATTTGAGATAATTCTTAATTATGTGGATAATTGGTTAGTTATCGGGTAGAAAGATATTACCTAATTAATTAATTAATTATTGGATAAGATTATAAACCCCTCCCCCACCCCATGTGGCAGCAAGCCACCACCCAAACAAAATGACTCATTAGTCATGTTGGTTAGGTGGCAAATTGTTATGATAATAGCCTTGAAATTCAAGAAAGGATTTATAAGCTTTAGCAAGTTAAAAGATTCATTTTATCTAACGTTTGAGGATAAAGAAATGAGCTCTCCAAGAGACTCTCTGAAGCTACCAAAAAAACGCAACCTGAAGCAAAAAAAAATAAAAATGCAAATTGAAGTTAACATAAAAGGGTACTGATCTTTAATAGATCGAGCAGACATTTTGCAATTTTAAGGGAGTACGGTGTAAACCTTTTCCAAGAATATCATACGGATTCTTCCTTACTCCAGGTATGTTAAGGCTATCCCTTCTTTCTTTTTGGCATGATCTATACAATAAAATCGAAATGAGCAACATAGTCCATTTCATCCGTACTGCATTTTCAACAAAAGGTTATCTACTTGCACATGTGAAGACATTAGCTTAAAATTTATTCTGGTGTTCGTTTTCTCTTGGAGTTTCCACTATGTCTTATGGCCTTTGGTACTTGATTTGTTGTAAGAGCTTTCCATTGCGTCTATTATGCTTGTCTTATGGGCACACTTCAATAGCAATTTGTGTGGTCCCATCTATTTAGGATCACAGTTTAGCCGTGACAATGGTTAGATACTAAGGTGTCTGATATATTTTTGAAGATCGAGGTCATTAACTTATGTTTCATTGTCTATTATCTTCTATTACTATATTTTGTTGATCTTCTGCTTCATTATCCTTATTTTGCATCTACTACTCATATAGCATGATACATACCAATGATGTGAGGGTTCTTTCCTTAGTGCATTGTTATTCCTTACGTATATTTTTCTAGTTTTGTAAGTTACGGTATTCTCCTTATCGGGACTCATATTCAATTGAGTATTTTCTTCTTCCTGTCAAGAGAGCAGAGAGTCTATAAATACAGTATTACAGTATTTTCATTACCATCGAGCTATAATCGATGGGCAGGCCCCTATTGGGTAACCTCTGATCAGATGGTAAGTTATATACCAAGCCTACTGTGACTGAGCGCCTATAAGCAAGCCTAGTTGGTCGAGATACAGAGCCTAGTATGGCCGAGCACCTATGAGCAAGCCTACTACAGCAGAGCAGTTATATATATATATATATATATATATATATATATATATATATATATATATATATATATATATATATATACACACCGAGCCTTATAAGGCCGGACAGCTATTTTACCTACTATATTGAGAGAATAGAGTCAGTATCAGCAGGTGAACATATCTTCAGATTAACTTTGACCCCCAGTTGCTTTCAGTTATTATATTATCTGTCCAATTTCAGCTTTCAGTATATTTTCTTACATACTCGGTACATATTTCGTACTAACGTCCCTTTCTGGGGGCGATGCATTTCATGCGTGCAGGTTCAAACAGACAGAAGGGTAGACATCCTCAGTAGGTGTTGCCCGAGTTCAGCTTTATCAGTAAGCTCCCTGTCCTTCGAAGTTGCCGGGTCTAGAAGTTTTGTGTACATCTTGTGTATATATGTAGATAGGTTATGGGTAGGTCGGGGGCCCTGTTCCGATTATCGTACATCTATAAGGAGAGGCTTATAAACATATCCTGTCAGTTACTGCAGTATGTTGGGCTTGTAGGTCCTGTACGTATATTTTGTTGGCTTGTTAGTTATAGTATTTATGACGGCCTTGCCGGCCTAGCATTATGTTGACATTTAGTCAGTGTTAACCTTCATTCAGTTATATATTTTGCTTCGCACATTATCATGTAATGTGGCCCACGGCTAGAGTATAACATTATATGTTCAGAGTCTCTTAGTCGCAAGTGGTATGCAAGGATAGGTAAGGCACCGGGCGCCGGTCTCGCCCCTAGGCTCGGGGTGTGACAATAAACCACTGAGGAAATTCAAAGGTTAATTGTTTACTCAAGAGAATAAACCATGAATGTTTTCTAAGTTTGTTTTGAAAGGTTAAAGCTGTCACGACCCAAACCAATGGGCCGGACGGGCACTCGGTACCTTACCCAATCGAGTATCAGGGTAATGTATCTTTCTTATTACATCATCATATACACGTGACATACGGGCCTAATAGGCCAACGTGATCATTTATAAATTCTAAACATAGGCTGACAAGGCCATACAAGTATTCATATAAAGATTTGTCTACAAGCCTCTATGAGTACATAAGTATCATAAAGGTCGGAACTGAGCCGCGCCATACCAATCAATACATGTCCTAATTATACTGACAAAATAAGCAACTCCGAAGCAAATGGAGCGCACCGACATCTTCTGCTGAGCTGATAGCCTACTTGGGGGGCTCTGACCTGTCTATCGGGACCTGCAGGCATGAAACGCAACGTCCCCAGGCAAAAGGGACGTCAGTACGAACAATGTACCGAGTATGTAAAGCACAAAAAATAAGTACGACATGGAAGAAATATCTAGTAAATGACTCAACTTGTAAGTCTGGGTAACTCTGCAAATCATGAAATACTTATAGTGTCATGCATATGCGTATGAATGTCATCTCGTGCATAGGTACATATGTTCATAACATCATCAAGCCTCTGAGGGCATCCCATCATTTCATCTCGGCCACTGTGGGCAAATCATCAACGTATACCAGCTGATCAGGTGGTGTTGAATATTATGCTCGTTTCATTTGCATCTTATGCATTATGCCAAAAGGAAGAAAAGATAGCCTTAACATACCTGGAGTAGGGAAAAATTCGTATAATATTCTTGGAAAAGATTGCTCCGTACTCCTTTAGAACCGCAAAATTTTATGTTGCTAATAATTCTCGTTGAATTTCTTTTGGTTTGCAAGAATTCACGTTGGAAGCTTTTCGGATGAGTTTAGCATTTCTTCTTGAATACTTTGAATTAGGAAGGAAGACATATATCTTTGTTATTCTCTGTCCAAATGAACCAAATTAGTGTAAAAGAGACCAAAATGGTCCGGTATGAATTCAGGCACGGCCCGCCCGTCTGCTGCTAGGTCCGAAAATGAATCGTACGAACATCTATGGAGCGTAGCAAGGAACCTTGGCTTCAGCTCTCGTCACCTCACTCAATCCTACAGCGGAAACTCGAGTCGAGGCGCTGCAAGCGAGCAAAGCGGCTTTGGGAAAAAATCATTCCTTTGCCGGGCGCTAGTCAAAGTAGTAAAAAAGGGCAAGTGGGCAAGTAGCGAGCAGGAGCAGTGTTGGGCTTTGTGGTCGTTAACGGGACGTGATGTCCCTTCATGGCCGGCCTTTTCAGTATGGAGCCCGTTTCAGCATATCATCTCGCTCGATTCCAAAAAAAAACTTTTTATAAACTTTCAATGTCTTACACGTGATGAGTTATTCATTTTTGCTAGACACCTAAGCTCATATGACTTCTTAGTCATATGTCTTTAATAGTGGCCTATTGCCACGTAGGGTTGGGGTGGGGATTTTAAATGTTTATTCACTAATTTATTAATTAACTAGGTAATATTTCGTTACCCGGTAATTAACTAATTACTCACATAATTAGGAATTGTCTCAAATTAATTAAAATTCTACTTATTTCTAATTCCATATTATATATATCATACTATCATAGTTATATAGTAACTTGTGTGGTACTAGTCCATAAATATCGGGTATTAATGCTCGGCATGTATTTTATCCCAACATGCCAAACTTGGATGAAAATTCACTTTCTTTGACTTGTGTCACACCCCAAAATCGAGGGGCGTGACCGGCGCTCAACCGAGCAAGCCTATTAGGTTTCATTCTACCCAAAATTAATTTATGAATAACAAGGAGATGAACTCCATAAATCCTACTTTATGAGCATTATATTGACAATCTTCATCATTGTCTTTCATCAGCAGTTCAATCGTACTTAACCAAATTATTACAATTAGTAGATACGAAGAAAACATTCTGCCAAATAACAACATATCTAGTTAAAATTTTCAATACCCGACACCACCAACAACCTGTCTACGGAGCCTTTAAATACAACTGAAGAGTAATATGAAAATGTCGGCAACAAGGCTCCGGCTATACCTCAAAATACAAAGTACATGATAAACAACGGTACAGGGCCCCAAAATGAAGTGGGCTTCACCAAGTCAGCTGAAAGGGAGATGCGTCACTAGTTGCGACCAACACTGCTTGCTATGGAACCACCTACATCCATCTAAAGACGTAGCGCCCCCGGAAAAAGGGACTTTAGTGCCATCGAATAGCACTAGTATGCATAACTAAATACCATCTCATTAGAAAGAACAACCATACAAGAACAAAGAAATCATAAGGATTCAACAAAAGCTTTAAACAATCACTACATCATCAAATAAAAGGAATCACATAACTTTCACATAATTTCCATAGCTTTAGTTTGGGGCATTTAACACAGTTCATCATCATTCACAATACCACCGCTTAATTGCGCGGAGTCTGATCACGGCCCGATCGGCTAAGCTGCCTCATTTGAGACATATACCTCAATCACTATTTCATTGTCACTTTTCGCGTTCAATATCAACACATTACCACCATGTGTGTAGCATGGCGTCCGATCAAGGCCCAATCGGCTAAGCCGTCTTACGAAGACGTTACCTCAATCACAGTTTTATTCTCACTTTCCGGTTTCAATATCAGCACAATACAACCATGTGTGTAGCATGGCATCCGATCACAGGCCGATCGGCTAAGCCGTCTTACCAAGACGTTACCCTTTTTCCATTAATCATTTCACTTTAATTTTTGCTTCATATATATTAGTTCACCTGCACTTAGGGCCACAGTTATCACATCATACTTGGCACTAGGCCACATTCCGTAACTCACGTTTCACATTATTCCCATTCTCAACGTTAACCTTGCCATTTAAGATCATAGGAACATACAAGAGCAATTCAAGTTATAAGCATAGAGAGGAATTCATCTAGTTCGGCATATTAATCACAATGTAACTTCGACTTGAAATTTACGCATTTTAGCACGCAGTTCATGTTCTCCACACATCCTCAATTTTACAAAGAATAGCATATTAAACACATGGAGACGCACCTTCCACATACATTCTCACAACATCAATACATTTAATATAACAAGTACTACATCAATCAAATTTCGGACTTATTACATTTGCACGGACACCATGAATGCTCAATTTCTAAGAAGAGGGGGTTTTAGCCATACATACCTCAAAGAGCTTTTCCTTAAGTTTCTACAATCCACCGATACCTCTAGCAATAATAATCTACAAGGAGATAGCAGGAATCGATTAATAATTAGGAAGATTACCCATGGTGTAACACTCTTAGGAATTTCATCAAACACCTAACATGTGAAGTAGTCTACAAGGTCTGAAAATAGAAATTCCCTCCTCCCTCAACTAATTTTAACAAGAATTACCCAAATTAGTTCTTTAATATCACATACAACAACTTAGTCCCACATGTATGGCCTATTTCTAATCCCCTTAACATATTCAAACCCTTAACCTCTTACAAGAA